CTTAAACTGTATTCTATATTATTTTGATAAGGCAATCAAGCATAAACGCCTCTTATTTCTGAAAACAAACGTTATAACGGCATTGGGGTTACCGCAATGACTAAGTTATCAGCTTCGCGATGTTAAAGTGTTTTCAGCGATGTTTCGGTTGCTTTTTCAATTTACCTGTGGTCAGTTGACGTAGCAAATTCACTCAAGTTTGATTATTAATTGCCATTGCATTTCATTCCGTACATTTGAATGCTTGTGCAGACCTTCTGATAAATATGAAACATGTTAATCGGGCTGCTGCTTTGACCATTAGAGTTTCAATATATAAGTGTTGATATAGCTCGAGAACTCGCCGCATTTGCTTCAAATGTTGTGGATAAATTGACAGGTTTTTTCTAAATATTTTTTTCATTTTAAAAGCCTATTTTTGATAAGAAATGAGAAATAGAATTCTGTTGACTTTATCAATCTTTTGGTTATGTAAGATAATGCCGGATTCCAGTCATCAGATGCCACTTCAAATAAGTCAACTGATAAAGTGTTTACACCAAAGCAAATCTGTAACATATAATCAATCGTTAGAAATTGAACAGCAAGTTACCGACAACACAACTATTACTTTTAAATGAGAGTGCCGCTCTCGAATCCTAGGAAGCTTATTAAATATTTTGTTGTGCATCGTATCAAAATTAGAGTTGAACAATTGCGATGAATTCAAAGATCCTATGGAATATCATTTTTAAATCAATGTTACAATATTTTCAACATTTCATTTCAATTACAAAATTCGAGGTTAAACAACATCAAATTCACTGTCGAAAAAATGAACTGAAATATATTAAAATGAAGCAATTTACCTTTTCCAACTAAAACACATAGTAATTTTCAGTGAGAATGTCGATTTTTTTCGATCGAATAAACTTGGTTGGACAGACATCAATAAAGCTCATAAGAATCTAGCACAAAGTCGCATTCACTCTTCTATTTAAATAATTTCATATGAATTGAATAACGTGCATCGAGTGCCAATTGTGATTAATTGCATTTTCATGCGGCTAATTCAATTACTGCCTCATGATTAAATGGTACCACCACATTTTCGGCCCTTGCCACACGGCGGTTGATCCAAAATAAGCGAAGGGTCAAGTAATAAATGAGTTCAAAGATGCTCAGCACAGAAACACCCAAGAATAATCCAAGTAATCCGCCACACACGGCCAAAAAATCAGTAGTAAAAGTATACAACTCTTTCCTGTTCATTGATTTCACATCGAGACTTCTTAGACTTTTAAAATGAAGGACAGAAATTGTGAGGCAAAAACTGAAAATAGTGGAATAAATCAGAATGTATTATGGCACATACTTCATGGCGAAGGACTCTTACTCCTCAGAGAACCGTTTGCTAAATTTCTTAAGAGTCTCGAGATCGATATCAGTTCTAGAGATAACTGCATCATATCCCACATACGTACACGATGGCAAACAATTGCACTTGTCATAAAATGCTTTGCCATTGCTACTGGTAAATAGTTTCCTTTTTGCCAATTTGTAGCACTTTACACTTGCCCCACCGCAGATTTTTGTGTGCTTGTCTCCTGTGAATAGGAGAAAAGGGTTTTTTTATCCACATTCGGCAATTAAAAATTAAGAAGGTTCAATACTTGGGGACGAAAATTTCACGCATCCACATTCGATTCGCGTGAA